AACTGGCTCCTCCATGTCTTTATGGCCCTTGCTTTGTGCACTGGTGCGCAGTCATGTTGGAACAGGAAGGGGCCATCCCAAACTCCTCCACAAAGTTGGGAGCATGACATTTTCCAAAAGGTCGCCTTAAGCGGTCCCTTCACTGGAACCAGGGGGCCAAGCCCAACCCCTGAAAAACAACCCCACATCATCCCCTCTTCACCAAACTTTACACTTGACACAATGCAGTCAGGCAAGTACTGTCTCGCCTCCACTGCTCTAGAGTCCAGTGGCGGTGTGCTTTACACCACGGCATCCGACGCTTTGCATTGCACTTGGTGATGGAAGGCTTGGATGCAGCTGCTCGGCCATGGAAACCCATTCCATGAAGCTCTCTACGCACTGTTGTTGGGCTCATCTGAAGGCCACACCAAGTTTGGAGGTCTTTAGCTATTGACTCTGCAGACAGTTGGGCGACTTCTGCGCACTGTGCGCTTCAGCATGCACTGACCCCGCCCTGTCATGTGACGTGGCCTACCACTTGGTGGCTGAGTGGCTGTTGTTCCCAGTTGCTTCCACTTTGTTATAATCCCACTAACAGTTGAGCGTGGAATATTTAGTAGCCAGGAAATGTCACGGATGGACTTATTGCCCAGGTGACCACCTATCACGGGACCACGCTTGGAGTCACTGAGCTCCTGAGAGCGACCCATTCTTTCACCAATGTTTGTAGAAGCAGTCTGCATGCCTAGGGGCTTGATTGTATACACCTGTGTCCATGGAGGGGATTGGAACACCTGAGTCACATGATTTGGAGGGGATTGGAACACCTGAATCACATGATTAGGAGAGCGGGGACAATACTTTTGGCAATATAGTACCATCTGATCAGGTCCACCTGAAAAACTGACAAGTGAACCTGATTAGTTTTGTGTGAAAGGGGCATTAGTGTACATTGTTTTGGTTTTTTTTTTTTTTTACATAAAATTCTATCTACACATTAAAATTCACACAGTGCTTTGTCTAACAGAATACTCCCCAAGAGTGGTTGTGGATCGCTTCTTCGTCCGTTCATGCGTGTTATTTACCAGTAAAGTCTTCACTTGTTTAGACATCCAAAAGCCTTGAGACTGCTGCTGGGTGCCACCATCTTGGATGTGATGCCAGCAGACTCACCACTGGCATTCACTTGACACGCTTTAGTTTTTTTTTTTTTTTTTTTTTTTTTTTTTTTTTGCTCCTCTCCCAGCAAATAAATACAAGGTTATGAAGGCAGGTGGGGGAGCTGGCTCAGCACAGACAGTCATTTGAAACACTCAGAAAAGGAGAGGGCTATGATGTGTAAGGAGAAGAGGGCTGTGATGGGGAATTGAGTCTTCCTGGAGTAGTCTTCTTCCCCTTTTTTTTTTTTTTTTTTTTTTTTTTTTTTTTTTTTTTTTTTTTTTTTTTGTAGCAGGCACATTGCAAGTAAATAAGACCTTGTGCCTGCTGGGCATTTGGCCCCAGTGCATGAGGTTCTGGTGTTTGCTGCAGCTGGAGGGCCCTCCATCGAGCCCTGTTGGCTCATTGCAATCATTGTACTGAAACCAATGCTAAACTGCGATTTGGAGCCGTATTTCTTTTCACAACTACAGAACAGCCTCATACATACAGATGGTTCATCTTGCAGCGTAAAATCTGGGTGCTTTGAATGCCCAGGAGGCTCTGGTGCAGCCCACTGCTAGCACCCTGTCAAAATCCATGACGTGCTGGACGCTGTATGGAGCAGTACTTGGAATCGTACAGGACCATATGTAGACTTTTTTGAGCCGACCCTTTCAATGACTAATTGCTTTTTTTTTTTTTTTTTTTTTTTTTTTTTCTTCTTCTTCTTGCTCCCCAGATTTACAAACCTACACAGCTGTGGTCACCATATTTTGTTGGCTGTAGCTTTTATTGTGAACCTTCATGGCAAAATAACTGGTGTCCTGGCCAGGAGTGATTATTGGATCCCATGCATTTTGTGGTTTTTCTCTCGTAGTGTGGTATTGCGAACCGAAGAAATGGGATGTGAGGTATATAGTCTTGTCTATGCATTGAGCAAGGCTGCCCAGTGCAGCCTAATGTACAGTCAGGGCCATAAATATTGGGACATGGACACAATTCTAACATTTTTGGCTCTCTACACCACCACAATGGATTTGAAATGAAACGAACAAGATGTACTTTAACTGCAGACTGTCAGCTTTAATTTGAGGGTATTTACATCCAAATCAGGTGAACGGTGTAGGAATTACAACAGTTTGCATGTGTGCCTCCCACTTGTTAAGGGACCAAAAGTAATGGGACAATTGGCTTCTCAACTGTTCCATGGCCAGGTGTGTGTTATTCCCTCATTATCCCAACTACAATGAGCAGATAAAAGGTCCAGAGTTCATTTCAAGTGTGCTATTTGCATTTGGAATCTGTTGCTGTCAACTCTCAAGATGAGATCCAAAGAGCTGTCACTATCAGTGAAGCCATCATTAGGCTGAAAAAACAAAACAAACCCATCATAGAAATAGCAAAAACATTAGGCGTGGCCAAAACAACTGTTTGGAACATTCTTAAAAAGAGAGAACGCAGCGGTGAGCTCAGCAACACCAAAAGACCCGGAAGACCACGGAAAACAACTGTGGTGGATGACCGAAGAAAACACCCTTCACAACAGTTGGCCAGATCAAGAACACTCTCCAGGAGGTAGGTGTATGTGTGTCAAAGTCAACAATCAAGAGAAGACTTCACCAGAGTGAATACAGAGGGTTCACCACAAGATGTAAACCATTGGTGAGCCTCAAAAACAGGAAGGCCAGATTAGAGTTTGCCAAACGACATGTAAAAAAGCCTTCACAGTTCTGGAACAACATCCTATGGACAGATGAGACCAACATCAACTTGTACCAGAGTGATGGGAAGAGAAGAGTATGGAGAAGGAAAGGAACTGCTCATGATCCTAAGCATACCACCTCATCAGTGATCATGGTGGTGGTAGTGTCATGGCGTGGGCATGTATGGCTGCCAATGGAACTGGTTCTCTTGTATTTATTGATGATGTGACTGCTGACAAAAGCAGCCGGATGAATTGTGAAGTGTTTCGGGAATATTATCGGCTCATATTCAGCCAAATGCTTCACAACTCATTGGACGCTTCACAGTGCAGATGGACAATGACCCAAAGCAGACTGCAAAAGCAACCAACGAGCTTTTTAAGGGAAAGAAGTGGAATGTTATGCAAATGGCCAAGTCAATCACCTGACCTGAATCCGATTGAGCATTTCACTTGCTGAAGACAAAACTGAAGGGAAAATGCCCCAAGAACAAGCAGGAACTGAAGACAGTTGCAGTAGAGGCCTGGCAGAGCATCACCAGGGATGAAACCCAGCGTCTGGTGATGTCTATGCGTTCCAGACTTCAGGCTGTAATTGACTGCAAAGGATTTGCAACCAAGTATAAAAAGTGAAAGTTTGATTTATGATTATTATTCTGTCCCATTACTTTTGGTCCCTTAACAAGTGGGAGGCACATATGCAAACTGTTGTAATTCCTACACCGTTCACCTGATTTGGATGTAAATACCTTCAAATTAAAACTGACAGTCTGCAGCTAAAGCACATCTTGTTTGTTTCATTTCAAATCCATTGTGGTGGTGTATAGAGCCAAAAATGTTAGAATTGTGTCGATGTCCCAATATTTATGGACCTGACTGTATATGGTGTGAATGGGCCCCCTAGGGTGGCAGTCTGGTAATAGAGGAGCGGGTAGGGTTGTTGGTGCAAATTTCTCCAGGGTTGAGATGCCCACAGGACTCTGGTGTGTAGGGTTTTCTCTCCTTCCTTCTTTTCTTCCTTCCCTCTCCTTTCTTCCTTCCCTCTCCTTTCTTCCTTCCCTCTCCTTTCTTCCTTCCCTCTCCTTTCTTCCTTCCTTCCCTCTTCCTTTCTTCCTTCCTTCCTTCTCTCCTTCCTTCCTTCCTTCCCTCTCCTTCCTTCCTTCCTTCCCTCCTTCCTTCCCTCCCTCCCTCCCTCCTTCCTTCCTTCCTTCCTTCCTTCCTTCCTTCCTTCCTTCCTTCCCTCCTTCCCTCCTTCCCTCCTTCCCTCTCCTTTCTCCCTTCCTTTTTTCTCCTTCCTTCCCTCTCCTTTCTCCTTCCTTCCTTTTTCTCCTTCCTTCCCTCTCCTTTCTCCTTCCTTCCCTCTCCTTTCTCCTTCCTTCCCTCTCCTTTCTCCTTCCTTCCCTCTCCTTTCTCCTTCCTTCCCTCTCCTTTCTCTCCTTCCTTCCCTCTCCTTTCTCCTTCCTTCCCTCTCCTTTCTCCTTCCTTCCCTCTCCTTTCTCCTTCCTTCCCTCTCCTTTCTCCTTCCTTCCCTCTCCTTTCTCCTTCCTTCCCTCTCCTTTCTCCTTCCTTCCTTCCTTCCTTCCTTCCCTCCTCCTTCCTTCCTTCCTTCCTTCCTTCCTCCTTCCTTCCTTTCCTTCCTTCCTTCCCTCCTTCCCTCCTTCCTTCCTTCCCTCCTTCCTTCCTTCCCCCCTCCTTCCTTCCCCTCCTCCTTCCTCCTTCCCTCCTTCCTTCCTTCCCTCCTTCCTTCCCTCTCCTTTCTCCCTCCTTCCCTCCTTCCCTCCTTCCCTCCTTCCTTCCTTCCTTCCCTCTCCTTTCTCCTCCTTCCTTCCTTCCCTCTCCTTTCTCCTCCTTCCTTCCTTCCCTCTCCTTTCTCCTCCTTCCTTCCTTCCCTCTCCTTTCTCCTCCTTCCTTCCTTTCTCCTCCTTCCTTCCCTCCCTCTCCTTCCCTTTTTTTTTCTCGTTCCTGGTGACTATAGATGTGCTGTGTGGGGTTATGCTGGTGGTCTGCTCCTTCTACCAGAGGAGTGAACAGTGATGGGGGTCTGTGGTTTATCAGGACAGTATGAATGTAGCAGCACCGTATGACCTGGTGTCATGAGACCTGATAAATAGTTATCGGGTGCTGCGTGTTTGCTGAGTGACTGTTTACACTCAGTCCACATTCCCTGGCAAGTGCCATGTTGGAGTCACCTGACCAGGGGGGGTCACACTGCATGCGGCACAGGGCACGAAGGAAAACACAGAGCCGTCTCATAAGGAACAGCTCTGTAGAAGCAGCAAAATGGGGAAAAACCTGCTGACACGTGCTATGTGTGTGTGGTGTGGTGTTTTTTTTTTTTTTTTTTGTTTTGTTTTTTTTGTTTTTTTATATAGGTTTTTCTTTTCCATTTGGGGGCTTTTGTGTGCTTACATAGTCTGGCTGTAGAAAGACAAAAATCCATCCAGTTCAACCATAATAAAAAAAAAACAAAAACACAAAACAAAAAAAAAAAAAACACAGACAACACACACACAGCACGTGTCAGCAAGATTTTCCAATCTTGCTGCTTCTACAATGTGTGTTGTGTTTTTTTTTGGTTTGTTTTTTTTATTGTGGCTTTTTCTTTTCCATTTGGGGGCTTTTGTGTGCTTACATAGTTAGTCTGGCTGAATAAAGACAAAAATCCATCCAGTTCAACCATAATAGGAAAAAAAAAAAAAAAAAAAAAAAAAAAGGTTGATCCAGAGGAAGGCAAAAGAACCCAGCAAAGCGCAATTAAAATTTGCTCCCGCAGGGAAAAGAATTCCTTCCTGATCCCCCCGAGAGGCAATCTCTTTTGTATGCAACATTGGAATTCGCCATGTATCCTAGGGTGCCCATCACAGGAGTGTCATAAGTGAAAGTGGTTTCTCAAGGCTTGAAAGCATGTGAGCTTGATTGGCGCTTTGCGCATGCGCAGTGCAAAAACATCTGTGAAGCCGCAAGGCTTTGCTGCCATTTTCCCTTAGTCAAGATGGCGGTGCCAGCACCCAATAGCCGAGTGAAGAACTGGTGAGGGCACCGCTGGATGCCTGCACAGATTAGTGCCCTTATGTCAGCAGCCTCAGTATTTTCACATGGGTCTCCCAGGGGTCGTAACTCCTCTTTACACCCCGGTTCACATCT